CCTACCTACCATCCATCCATCCTTCCTTCCTTCTTACCTACCTACCTTCCATCCATCCATCCTTACTTCTTTCTTACCTACCTACTTTCCATCCATCCATCCTTCCTTCTTATCTACCTACCTACCATCCATCCGTCCGTCCGTCCGTCCATCTCTCCATCCATCTCTCCATCCATCTCTCCATCCTTCCTTCCTACCTACCTGCCTACCATCCATCCATCCACCCTCTCCAAGTCTCTGCTGCTGAAAACCACCCCGCAGCATGAAGTTGCCACCACCGTGTATCACTGTTGGGATGAAGCTGGGGGCTCCTTTGACCCCAGAACTTGGTTTTGTTGGTTCAGTGGCCTTCTTTATGCCACCACTGAGTGAAAACATCAAATCAAATGGGAGGAATGAGTTGAAGCGATCGTAGCAGCGGGCTGTAATGTTAACCTGCTGCATTCAATTAAAAACACAGTAAATAAAAAGTCTCGTTGTTGTTTTGTGATGCGTGTGCAGGACTTGGCTCAGTACGTTAATGAAGTGAAGAGGGACAACGAGACGCTGCGAGAAATAGACCAGTACCAGAGGTCCATTGAGAACCTGGTGAGTTCCGTTACTGTTCAGAGTAACGTTGCCAGGTTGTTGCTCCTGCCACACAATGTAATTTTTCTGCTTCCTCATTTCCAGAATCAGCCTCTCAGTAACTACGGGAGGCCCAAGGGCGACGGAGAAGTACGCGTGGCCTCGGTGGACAAACGAGCCAAACAGGACAGGTGAGCTATCGGCTTGTTGCATACTTTGACTGAACGAGTGAAGGATCAGGTGATGGAACTGGAAACGCTCCAAAGTGTTCATCAGCTGATGAAACTAACTTTTTATTTCCCCACAAAATGAAGGAATGATCGTTCTAACTGCATCATAACTAAACGAATATTAGGAAAATTATCCTTCCCTAAACAAAACAAATAACTTCTCTTCATAAAATATCCACCAGATCCTAAATCCAAGAAAAAAAAAAGCTTAAATGATTAATTAATTAATATTTTACCTGCCGTGAATAGATTGCACCAGATTAACGAGCTAACAGGTTAGCTTCAGCGAGGCAAAAATCAAAGCAGGACGCTGCATTAAGCAATCCAACCTTAAAAATTTATAATCTTTATGTTGACGTCAGTTTCACACAGTTACATTAATATTTACATAGAACGCTGCACAGGAAGTACTAGAGTTAGCACTTCCTGTGCAGCCTGGAGCATTTCCTGCCATATTATTATAATATTTTTCCCACAAATATCATGTATTACAAAGTTTACAGCAGTGTAAAGGTGTATAATTTACTATTTGTAAATTTTTTAGAGATGTTACTGCTTGGATTAGCCGTTAGCTCATCAATTTGGTCAAAATGCAAAGCGCTATCAAACAGGTAAGATATTGATTGTTCATAACTTCTCTGCAGAAACTCTCTTTAAAAGGTTTGGGCTACTGTTTAAGAGTGTACAAAGTTTTTTTTTTTTATGGTAGCAGCTCATCTTATTCATTTTCTAGTTTTAGCTCCTCAAGAATTTAAGCTGAATTAAAAGTTCCAGTTGTTTATTTTATTAGACGTGTAAGAGCTACACGTATCAGTAAATGTGTTGGCTGACAAAAACAGAATAAAAATCAGCTTTTTCAGAGTTCAGAGTTCAGCTTTATCGTCTCTCAAAGGGGAAATTCGGTTTTACAACGGCAGTAAAAACACAATCAAGATAGTAAACAATAAAAATAACAATAAAATGTGTTACAGTGGGAGGCATTGTAATGTAAACAACCAGTTTTTGAGCTAAAAGTAAAAAATATCAATAGAATGCAAATAAAAATAAAAAAGTTTGATATTTGCAAGCACAAATGGAACAAAATAGGCTTCAACACCATCATTTATTCATCATTCATTCTTATTTATTTATTTTATTTTCTGTGGTCCACAGGCACATCTTCCTGTTCGACTCGGCCGTGATTGTCTGCAAACGCCGAGGAGACAACTACGAGATGAAAGAAGTGATCGACCTGCACCTCTTCAAGATCACCAACAACCCCACGTCCAACAAAGAGAACCGAAAGGTCCGAACGCAACAATCGCTGCTTCCTCAGCTCAGTGGCTGTTTGTAACAGCTGTCATGGCTCAGTGCAGTAATCAAAGCACATCTGGGATTAATTTGTTTATAAGTTTTGTCTTTTGCACACAGTGTTCCAGACAGAGAGCTTCATAAAGATTTAAAACGATCTCTGATCAGTTGGAACAATAGACTTTATTTCAAAAACAATTACTTCAGATATAAAAACGAGACAGTTATAAGACTGTAGGCTGTTCAGTTTTTATTAAAAAAAAAAAGTTTTATGACACGAACGTTACCATTTTATTTACAATGCAATGCATTCTGGGTAAATGACATACCATACCATTTTATTTATAAAACACTTTAAACAGCGACAAGGCCAACCAAAGTGCTGTACAAACAGAAACAAACAGGCAAAGCACACAGCAACACATAACATAACAAAAAAATCAAAATATAGAAACAAAATAATAGCAGATAATAATATAATGACTAACACAGTGTGATGCACGCAGGTTCAGCACAGATCATACAGTGTTGAAAGCCAGGGAATAGTAGTGGATTTTTAAGCGGGATTTAAAAACTGTGATGGGAGAGGCTTGTCTGACAAGCAGAGGTAACTCATTCCAAAGTCTTGGGCCTGCGACAGAGAAGGCCCTGTCACCTCTGCGCTTAAGACGGGTTTCTGGAACTGTGAGAAGCAACTGGTCCGCTGACCTCAGAGAACACGGTGGGACACAGGGCTGCAGAAGATCAGTGAGATAGGAGGGGGCAGAGTTGTTCAGTGATTTGTAGACATACAGGAGTATTTTGAACTGGATTTGAAGGTGAACCAGTAGCCAGTGCAGTGAGGCCAAAACTGGTGTAATGTGCTCTCTTTTGCCTGTACTGGTTAAAAATCAGGCAGCTTCAGCTTAGACAGCCGCCTCAGCTGGAAAAAAAACAGAATTTAACAATCATGTTTACATGATTGTTAAGTTTCAAGGAAGGGTCCATTATCACTCCCAGATTAATGACTCTTTGTTTCTCTAACGGGGCTAGAGAGGAAAGGTCAATGCAGTAGTTGACGTTTGTTTCGTTGGGCGGAAACCACGACTTCAGACTTCTCATTGAAACTTAAGAAATTTAAAGCCATCCAGTCTCTGATGTCAGCCAGGCAGTCAAGCAGAGGTTGAATAGAGCATGTACCATTTTGTCTTAGGGGGAAGTTAATTTGACAGTCATCGGCTTAGAAGTGAAAGGGTAGGTTGTGTTTCCGGAAAATAGCACCTAGTGGCAGGTATAAACAAAATAGAAGGAGACCGAGGATGGACCCCTGCGGTATCCCCCATTTAAGCACTGCCGATGCTGAACTAAAATCTTTGATGGAGACACAAAAGGATCTGTCATTGAGGTAAGATCTGAACCACTTGAGGTAGACAGACAGGTTGTTGTGGTACGAGCTCTATTCAGCTTGAATGTTAATTTTGGACATTATTTGATGTTCATCCCTTTAATTTGAACCTGATCATTGACAGAGAGGAGAAAGCAGAAATGACTCAGCTTTCGCATTACCTAAAGAACTAATAAATATGATGTTAGCGCCAGAGCTAATATACAGTATACGTTAGCTCCAGAGCTAATATATATGATGTTAGCTCCAGAACTAATATACTGTATACAATGTTAGCTCCAGAGCTAATATACATATAATGTTAGCTCCAGAGCTAATATATACAGCGTTAGCTCTTGAGCCATTATGTATATGGCGTTGGCTTCAAAGCTAATAAATCAAACATCACAAGTCGCTTACAAGTGATCTTTTCAACCCATATATTGTGCGTAAAACTAATACAAATTCTAACTTTATTGTCACGTTATAATTTTTAGTCTTGACTCCTTGTGTTTTGGTCTCCACTACAACCAATGTACATCACCCCAGAATGCATTGAGTATATAAAATAATGGTGAAATGCTTAGGTGAAAAATATAATAAACATACTTTTTTAATTAATTGTTTTCACGTGTCACAAACAACAACTATAACAGAGAAATATCGATACATTAAAGCCAACATGTGCAAGTAGTTGGAGATGATTTAAGAGATCAATATTCAGACAGTAAAATGCAACTCAAACTGATCGTTCTTACTAAAGAAAAGCAGAATTAATAAAGAAAAGTCTTCAGATTATTCCATGAAAAGTTGCTGAATGTGTTGCACGGTGCAACACGGCCAGCTTCAGTAATTCTCCCAGGTGAATTTTCCCTCTTACATGAACATGCATAGATACGTTTTTCAGATTTGGAAAATATTCTTGAATTTCATTCACTTTTTTCTTCCCTGCATTGTCATATTTATATGAAGAAATCTGTCCAAGTCTTTGCCGGAGGTACTAGATATTTTATAGGTATTTTGACATGTTATCCAATTGGTCCCGTTTCCTACGCTTCCCTGAGATTGGGTCATGAAGACAACAGAAGCCCTGAAATCCTCCTCAGTGAAACTCTCCAGCTCCTTCTGGGGGATTCCAAGACATTCCCAGGCCAGAGAGGATTTATAATAACCTCCAGTGAGTTCTGGGTCTGCTCTGAGGTTTCCATCCAGGATGTGCCTGGAAAACTTTCACCAGAAGATGTCCAGGAGGCCTTCCTGTTAAGACTGATCCACCTCAACCGACTCTTATAGATGAGGAGTTGCAGCAGTTTTACTCCCTACTCCCTCTGAATGATGCGCTCCTCAGGGGTGTCCAATGCTCGTCCACGAGTGCCGTCTTGCATGTTTTACTTGCTTCCTTGCTCCAACATGCCTAATTAAGCGGTTGGATGGTGGTTTAATGGTTTAGTTACCTCTTCCTGTTCATCACCCATTGATTCAAATCAGGAGCGTTGGAGCAAAGAAACCTCTAAAACATGCAGGATAGTGGCCCTCGAGGACCAGTATTGAACTGCTACAGAGGAATCTCATTTCAGCTGCTTGCTACAAGGATCTTGTTCTTTCTGTCTTGGTCCATAGCTCATGACTGCAGGTAAGTTTTGGAATGTAGACAAACCAGTAAAATGAGAATTCCCCCTTTCAGATAAGCTTCTTCTTCACATGAACGCCTGGAGCAAACCCTGATCAGTCCATCTCATGAACTCAGATACTTGAACTCTTAGAAGCAAAGATTCAAGCTTTCCACGTTTTTTTCATGTTGAGAACCATGGTCTCAGATTAAAGGGGTCTGACTCCCATCCTGGCTTCTTCTTACTTGGCTGTGGTGGATCAGAACCTGAAGACACTGAAAAAACTGCACACAGAACAAGACCCTGAGGAGCGACACTGACACCTCATACTTCTGCAGTACCTCCCCACCAAATGCCTCAAAAGCCATTTTTAGATCCACAAAACCCATGTGGACTGAGCGGTCCAACTCCTATGACCCTCTTAGCATCTGTGCAAGAGTGAAGCTCTGGTCTACTGAAGTCTCTCTCCTTCAGGCTGTAGGTCCCGCTCCTTTCGGAGCAGGGTCAGCCACATGGATTCTCCTTCTCCATTTTGCTCCATTTCTTGTATTGTCTGTTGTGAGATGGGGTGTTTTTATATCCCGCTGGATCATATCCATCCATCTCATCTTCTGGTGTCTCCTGATGCGTTGACCAAAAACTTGGGCATTTAATAGCCTTTTTACCTCGTCATCTTCCATTCGCGGCACATGCCCATACCATCTCATTCTTGATTCCTGTATCTTATCCGTGATGCATGCCGCGCCAAGCATTTTTCTGATATCGTCATTTCGCCGTTTATCCTTGAGGGATACTCCTAGAATCCCATGTAGCATCCACATTTCTGTTCTTTCCAGGAGTTCCTTTTCCTTTCTCTTTAATGTCCATACCTCAGCTCCACAAATCAAGACTGTGAACACCATCACATTGTACACTTTCCCTTTAAAATGAAATGGCATCCGTTTTGTCATCTGGCATATGGTCTACTGCAGTACTGGGACCAAAGACACGGAACTCTTCCAGAATCCGAGTCAAAATCAAGAGTCTGAATCAGAGCCTCCCAAACTGTAAAGGTTATCACTATGGGTGATAACCTTTACACTTGTGGCAGAGTGGTTAGAGCAGTCGTCCTCCGATGCAAGAGTTGGGGGTTCGAATCCACCAGCAGTCAGATACTGAAGTGTCCCTGGGCAAGACACTGAACCCCTCATTGCCTCCGATGTGCGTTCCATCGGTGTAAAGCACTGATTCGTCTCGTTAGAATGATTTGTTCAATTAGCTTTGTAGAGATATAGTAGAGAGAGTATGAATGGGTAAAAAAAATCAAGTTTTATTTAACATGTTTTTCTTGATGGATTGATAAATTCACCCTGAAGTGTCGCCTCCTTAAACGTGAATCAAAACAAGCTCATAACACTTAGCTTTTAATTAGCTATTGTACTACTTCTTGTAAATCTACATCCCACTTAAATCTGTGATTTAATGTAAATTTAGAACAGCTTAAAAGAGCCCTTAGGATGTCTGTATGAATCGTACCCAACACGGCAGCGCCAAAGAGTGGCTTTAATAGTTCCTCCACAATATGAAGCTCATAAAAATGATGGAATAGCCAAAACTTCAGATTAACATGCTGCAAGAAAAAAACCGAAATCAAAACAAGCACCTCCGAATGACTAGTTTGCTATAATGAAGGCAAGTTCTGCGACGTCAACTCCATTATTGCCTCTTTATGACTGAGTCAGCGAAGCTCGGCAGCCATGTTGGACTCCTGACAAACCAATTAACAGAGCTATTCCTGCATAATTAACAGCCATAACAGTTTGTCAGATTCACTCGGGTTCATAAAGCGGAGTGAAAATGAAGTGAACATGCTTCTTTGTGGGGTTTCATGTGCACCTAACAGTGTTTCTCCACCCCGTGCTCTGGATTCCTCCTGCCAAAACGAGTGACACGAACAGAAACCTTTCAGGCTCGTAACGACAAAATAATTAACAGAAACAAGCCTTAAATAATTTGCTACATGCTTGTTCCTGCTCGTGTTTTACACTCTTGTTCTGGTTCTCCCGACTGAGACAGTGTCAGCCTGCAGCCGTCTGCCTCCTCCCAGATGGTGCTATCATTAAACCTCGCTTTGGGCCTGACTACTTGTGCACATGTGGTGAATACAAAGTGCCAACCGGGGGAAAATATTGCCAATCATAATGAGGAATGATATCCAAAGCGTGCCAGGAAGCATTGATTTGGGTAATGATATTGTTGTAATGGCAGCCATTAGTGGGCTCCGACCCATGCGAGCTTAGAGGATTATATTCATGAAGGTTGAAGCCAGTTTAGCATCGTTCACCTCTAACATGAAGGGTGCAATGGATTTTGTGTTAGAGATGATAGAGGAGACCTGATAGTAGTAACTAGCCATCCCTCCATTTTGAACCTCTCGTCTGGGGAGGCAACAGGTTCAGGACAGACCGTAGACCCCACTCTACCCAGGGACATTCTCCAGGACTTCCTGGGGGATCCCAAGGTGTTCCCAAGCCAGTGAGGAAAACATGTGTGTTTTTAAGTTTCTATTACCAAAACATCTCGTGAACAAGTGTATGGATTTTAGTGAACTGGTAGAACATAAAAAAAAGCAATAAAACCATGCTTAGCATTAGATGATGGTTACTAACTAGCAAACTCAAGATTAGAAAATAGTAAACAAGATACATTTTATTTTTCTCCTCATCATCAACTAACCGTAAGCTAACCATATGCTAATTTTAAGCCAACTGTAAGTTAACCATACGATAACTATAAACTAATCTCAAGTTAACTGTAAGCTAACCATAAGCCCATTAAGCCAAAACCCGTGATACGTGACCATGACCTAAGGATTACTGTAGCTAATCATGTTTTTTGTGGACCTTTCTTTGAACGTTCTACTGATAAAACTTGCAGAAATAATCATTGGTGTACATCTACAAATAATTACCTTTCCAAGTCTACCCAATTCAAGATGGCTGCTACAGCCAGCTCACCGTCAAACCACCAAAACAATCATAAATAAACTGATTTGACAGATATTTTGCTAAAATTTGGTGTGGTAGTAGCTGAGAGTCATTTACACTCTGTTTTATCTGTTTACATGAAACATTTGCTTAAAACTTTAGCATTAACTGTTGGAGTCAACACAGTTTGGCTCTTGTTAGCAAAATATCTCGTGAATCTCTGGACAGATTTGATTGAAACTTTCCGACAGTAGACGCATCTACAACTGAATATTGTTTGAAGACGATCCAATTCACGATAGACACTCATGCTAAGATTACCATAACCCAGACGTTTTTGCTACAGCTAACAAAAGACAACAGTGAATAAAATAATAAGCAATATAAAAACACATTTTTTAGGAGTTTAAAAAAAAAAGCAAAGCTATTGAAGACAATACAAAGGGCTCTGAATGAATGTTAATCTGTATCCAAGTGTTTACCGTACTTGCTGTTGTACATGTCGCACCGCCGTATAAGTCACATCAGTCCAAATATGTCTAATAAAGGGGAAAAACAAATGCGTTGCTTCGCCACGAGTTGCATCTGCTGACGCGTCGCGTTCGTTAACCCAGAAACAAGGGCCGGGGTTGTGCCAAAAATAGATTGACTGCCAAGTGGCAGCAGCGGGAGAGTGCATGGGAGGACTTTAACAAGAATTTAACAAGATTATCACTTAAAACAATTGTTTGTTTGCTCGACATTATAGCAAAGGTTTGTCTCAGTTGAGCTTTTCCTTAATAAATGTACTTTAACGGTCAAATCGGCTGCATTTCGCCTGGGTGGCGCGGCGAAATGCAGCCGATTTGACGTTTGCTCCAGGAGCGAGACAACGGTGGCCTGTATGGCAAGCCAAGCGTCTCACTAATAGCCACTTTTACCTATTAATGAGACACTTGGCTTGCCATATTAGTCGAGCCGCTCGAGCGCCCTCTAGCGGCTGAGAATGTTAGTGTTCAATATTTTTAATGTCAGAATGAATGAAATCGTCTGATCTCAACCAAAAATTGGGGATAAAAACAAATAAGTTGCTTCGCTATATAAGTCGCAGGGCATTTCAATTTATGCAAAAAGCTACGACGTATACAGCGAAAAATACGGTAAATGCTGGATACGAGGTGGTTTAACAATGAGAAACCTCCTTTTAACCCTTGTCCTCTCAGACGTTCATGAATATGACGTCTGAAAAGATCCAGCTGGGATCACTGAAAACAGAGAGCCTCTCAGACACCAGACAACCACTTCCTCCTTTGTACTAATTGGCAGACGGATCAAATCGTGGCTCAGCGCAGGTTCTGCCGCCCGCCGGGACTGCCCGTGCTTTCCTTCGTCTTTACTCGCTCGGTAAAAACGGAGTTCGTCTGAGAGCTCGGCTCATTTGAACCTTCGGAGCCGAGAGCGAGAAGTTGAACACCACGAGCGGGAGCCATTAAGCGTGCGTCCCGCCAGCACCCGTTCGGTTCTGCTGCGTAGAAAACAGCCGCCCGTGTTGACGCAGAGTGATATTTAGCCTTTAAAGTGGATAATTGGAGCCGATTACAGGCCCACCCGCTGCCCCCACAGCTCCTTCTCTCCTCTCCTGAACTCTTCCTCCGTCACTTCATCCCCTCTTCTCTCCCCGAGGCATCCCTCTTTCATTCTGCATCCTTTTGTCCCCATCTGTCTCCCTGCGTCCCGTCTCGCTCAGTTTTTTCCATGTCTTTATTTCCTGTCTCTGTGTTTTATCTGTTGCAGTGGTCTTACGGATTCTACCTCACACACAACCAGGGCCAGAACGGCTTTGAATTCTTCTTCAAGACCAAAGAGCTGAAGAAGAAGTGGCTGGAGCAGTTTGGCATGGCCATGTGAGTGCTTTTCTTTCATCCCTTTTTTTGTTGTTGTTGTTCTTTGTGGATTTAAATGTGCGAGTGCAGCAGCGTGATAATCTCGGCTGCGTTTGGAGATAAAACAAGCGCGCCGCCCGTCGTGTTTTTCCACTAAGGCCGAGCGTGGCTCTGCGAGTGGTTGACATGACAACACAAATCAAAACGTTGCGTTCGAAGACCTACGTTTAAGTCGTGCATGACTGTAAGTCGTCAAACGGCTTCGCCCCGTTCTCGTCCTGACCTGGATCCTAAATTCCTCTGAAGGGACAAACCGGTTCCACTAGGGACAAATTTAATCACCTGCGAGCTTACACAACCACAAATTACTGCTGATTATTAGGTTTTGGCTGCTCAAGCACCAAATATTAGCTGAACATCTAAAAAAATGGCTCTTTTTATGTTGGCGTATATTACTTGCTGAGAGTTTTAGAAATATTTGTCCTGTTGCTCACAGACAAACGTGGTTGACGCCAACAATTAACGCCAAAGTTTTAATCAACAATGACGCAGTCTGTTAGAGTTTGTTTGTGTTGAGGGCGACTCTCGGCTACTGTCACATCAACTTTTAGCTCATCGTCTGTACAACTGGCTGAGTTTTAGCTGGGTTTTTTTGTCTGTAAAGACCCGCCTGCTTGGAAACTCCCTTTTTCAATTTAATGGTTGACTCAACAGGTGCGTTCCACTTGAAAATATTAAGATAAATTAGTATTTGTTCAAATTCAATCGTTTGTTTTCCCGAGGGTTCATTTGTTTGTGTAAGTTCTCGGCTCACTGTGCGTTGTGTCTGAAAAGTTTTATTTATTTATATATTTATTTAATAGATCTAAAGGTCAGCGCTTCTTTGGTGATATCAGACGATGGTTTTGTTGTTTCAGACCCTGAACTTTAACCTCCTTATTAAAAATTAAATAAGCTGCAGACCTCAGGGTTTCCCTTAAGATATGAGGCACCTGGTACAGGATTATCAGTGGCAGCACAATAGAAAAACTTAAAAAATTAAAAGGTGCCGATAAAGTTCCAACGTAACTTTTTAAAAATAAAACTCGACACTGTCAACATTTTGATAGACGAACTGCAAAAGAAGTGTAAAGAGAGCCAACCTGAAAAGAAGTGTGAAACCTGCTGCTAGCAGCTCCCTATGGTCACCATGGTAACCACACGCCCGTGTCTGTCACTCGCTGATTGATAAAGGCAGGGAGACAAAAACAACAGACTGAAAGGTAAGCCTCAAACAAACAGTGGCCGTGCGAAAACTACAAGTCCGTCCATCTTAATTTTGGGACGTGGGGGGTCACTGGTGCCCATACCCAGCAGTCTTTGTGCAAGAGGCAGGGGACACCCTGGACAGGTCTCTAGTCCGTCACAGGGACACATAGAGACAAACGAGACAAACAATCATTCACTCTCTCACTCACACCTAGGGACAATTTAGAGTTACCAATCAGCCTAACATGCATGTTTTTGGTCTGCGGGAGGAAACCGGAGCACCCGGAGAAAACACACGCATTAGAGCTGGACAATAATTCGATATCGATATATCTCGCGATATACTTTTATTCAATAATGATGATATGAATTTTAAGCACATTTTCGATATTTCGGGTTGAAGCGGCCACTTCAGTTTCAACCCGGACAGAAAAAGGTGCGACACAACTACGCAAGTGCGTGGTGACGTAATGTTACGCAGAGCTCGAGTCCAGAAGGCGTTAGTGGTAGCAGGCTAAGCTAGGCTAATCTCCAACGCGCGTCAAGTTTTCTCTTCAAAATGAGTGCCCATGATCGTCAGAATGTGACTGAACAAGCTTTCACAAGCGAAGAGAAAGCAGATGACATCACTGATAAGAGAGAAAAGACTAATTCGCTGGTGTGGAAGTGGTTCGGCTTTCTAAGATCCGATAAACTGCAGGTTTCAGTCAGTGTGCTGCAAAATGTGCCGGAGAGTCGTTCTAACTCGCGGTTGGAACAACAACTCGTTCCACTTGACAGAAGATGATGAGTCACAAGATGAAGCACAATAAAAGTTTGAGCCAACGTGTCCCTGAAACACCCCCAGCACTGCATGTTTTGTTTGTTTTTATAATTTATTCATTCGTTTAAAATAAAACAAATTCATCAGAAAGAAGAAAAAATTCTTATCTGCCCCTAATTTAAAAAAATACAAAATAACTACAAACAAACAACAACCTTGACTTGAACAATCTCCAAACTGAAAACAAAAAAACTTCAGGTATCCTTCACTAACAACTTTAACTATCATCTTTTTAAACATATAAATTGTTTTAGAAATGTTTATGGTGATAAAGACAATTCATAATCCTTTTCCCTGAATGACAACACAGCTCCTTCAGATTAGTTCTAAATGGAGGTTTTATATACATTTACATTCCTTTAAGTTATATTGACTCTCCTTTTTTATATTTATTTTTTACAAATTTTAATTGAATATTTGGGGCTAATATTTTTATGAGCTTTATGCATGACATGTAAAATACTATATTCAACCAAATCATAACATTTTAATAATTTCAATTGATGAAATAATATATTTGTTGGATGACCATAGCGCTTTATATTATTAATAATTCTTATAGCTCTTTTTTGTAAAAATAAAAATAGGATTTGTAATTGTTTTGCTTTTCCCCAAACTTCATTACAATAGATTAAATATGGAACAATCATCACATCATACAATATATACAAAGCTTTGTCATTCAAAAACTCTTACTTTATACAGTAATGCAATTGATTATTATTTTTAAGTATTTTACATGAGATTTCCACGTCAGCTTCTCATCAATAACGACACCCAAAAATGTTAATTAACAACAAATTTCAATGCTGTCAATTTTAAAGTTGTTGTTTAAAGTCAAAACTATTAATATTGACAAAGTTGAGAATTTTATGTTTATTTGACAGTGATTTCAATTTTTTTCAAGGCTAAATACAAATAAAAGGTGAACATTAATTTATTTGTGTAGTTTGTAGTTTTTCTGAGGCTTTTATATTGTTTATATCGATATCGAATTATATCGTTATTGACCGAAATTAAGAAATATATCGTGATAAAAGTTTGGCTATATCGTCCAGCCCTACCACACATGCACAAAGAGAAGATGCAAACTCCACCCAGAAAGGTCCCTGACTGGGATTTGAACCGGCAACCTTCTCACCGAGAGGCAACAGCTCTACCAACTGAGCCACAGCCAAAAACTTAAGTCAGATCCTAAAAAGTCTCGAACATGACCAACATGTCCGCTGAAACTAACCACCATTTGGTCACTGTAAGCTAACTTTAAGATAACCTTAAGCTAATCATATGCTAATCTTAAGATAACCACAAACTAACCGTATGCTAATCTTAAACTAACCTAACACTAATCTTAAACTAACCATAAGCTATCCTTAAGCTAACCATACGCTAATCT